AGCTTCAGCAAGCCTGGGTCCAAAATAGCAGCCAGTCATGGCCCCCGGTCTCTCAGTGCAGCCTCCTCCAGCCAGCGCCGCATGGAGTTCTCCCTACTTCTTCCTTCTTGTTTACAAAGAGAAAAGGGGGAAAATAAAAGAAAAAAGGAAAGAGAAAGAAGATGAAGAAGAAAGGAACTTTTTTCACCCCTCTATCTTTTTTTTAAAAAAATTATTTATTTTCACTTTTAACATTTATCATAATCCTTTTACAAATAGGATTCTCAGAAACCCCAAACTTCCCTCCACTCCTCCATGGTTTCCCCGGATATTCTTTTCTTTTCTTTTCTTTTCTTTTTTCAAAATAATTTTTATTAAAGTTTTAAACAACAAAGAGAGAAAAGAAAAACATACACAATACATATAACAAAAACACGAAAAAAAACAAGATTCAACAGTAAAAGAACAAAAAACAAAACAATTAAAAACAATATCTCTTTTCCATTTCCATTTTTAAGTTACTTATTTTCTGGACTTCCTCATACCTCCCTCTTTTGTATTCCAATCCAAATTGTTTGTCCAGCAGTTTCTTTTCCACTTTTTTAATCCCAATCTTTCACTTTAATAAGATATTGAAATATATAACTTCAACTTCTTTAAACCTGATCTTTAGTCTTAGTATCATATAACATTAAAATTTTTCCTCTTAGTGTCAATTTTCCATTTCTTTAAACATCCTTAATCCTAATCTTTATTCTTAGTCTATCATTAACTTTAACCTGTACATCTGGAAACCGCTTATTTTCAATCCAACATCACTCTAACATTCTTTAATTTTGCAATGTTTCTGAAGATAATCTTTAAATTTCTTCCAATCTTCCTCCATCGACTCTTCTCCTGGTCACGGATTCTACCAGTCATTTCCGCCAATTCCATATAGTCCATAAGTTTCATCTGCCATTCCTCCAGCGTGGGAAGTTCTTGTGTCTTCCAATACTTTTGCGATGAGTATTCTTGCTGCTGTTGTTGCATACATAAAGAAAGTTCTATCCTTTTTTTTAACACCATTTGGCCGACTATGCCCAGGAGAAAGGCCTCTGGTTTCTTAGGGAAGGTATACTTAAATACCTTTTTTAATTCATTATATATCATTTCCCAGAAAGCCTTAATCTTTGGGCACGTCCACCAAAGGTGAAAAAATGTACCCGGATATTCTTTTCAAACTGCATCGTATCATATTCTCCATATTTTCTTAAAACTTAATTTTTACCATAGTTCTCATTTTGTTGCAAGTGTTTTTAAAATCCTGCCAATGTTTTCAGTTGTTTACATCGTTCTTTCAAGTAACTTAAGAAAAATTCCCCATTCTTTATTAAATTTACAGTGGTACCTTGGGTTAAGTACTTAATTCGTTCCGGAGGTCCGTTCTTAACCTGAAACTGTTCTTAACCTGAAGCACCACTTTAGCTAATGGGGCCTCCTGCTGCCGCCGCACCGCCGGAGCACGATTTCTGTTCTGATCCTGAAGCAAAGTTCTTAACCCGAGGTAATATTTCTGGGTTAGCGGAGTCTGTTTTTTTTTTTTTTTAAATGATATTTATTAAAAGTTTAGAAATTACCGAAAAAAGAAAAAAGACAACAATAAAAAAACCAAAAAAACCATAGAAAAACAATACAACAATACAGCAAAAAAGAAACAAAGAAAATAAAAACTAAAACACACATCCAATATTCTATATCTTTACCTTTCCTTTACTTGTTTCATCGACCTCCTCACACCTCCCTCTTTTTGTATTCTAGTTCAATTCACTATTTCAGCAAATTCTTCCCATCCTTCTCAATTTTTTCCCTATAATTTATCTTAACGGTCTAACCTTAAATTTTTCATTTTAACCCGTTATCAATCAGCTTTTACTTAATTCTTTGTTGCATTTCTACTAAAACCATATAACTTCATTCCAGCATCCTTCTAACACTCATTAATTTTACAATGTTTCTGTAAGTATGCTTTGAATTTTTTCCAATCTTCTTCCACCGACTCTTCTCCCTGGTCTCGGATTCTGCCCTGGGTTAGCGGAGTCTGTAACCCGAGGTACCACTGTATGTAAGCGTATGTAACCCGAGGTACCACTGTATTGTCCTCTTGATCTCTGATTTTCCCAGTCATTTCTGCCCATTCAGCATAGTCCATCATCTTTATCAGCCATGCTTCTTTCGTGGGCAACTAGCATCCATGCAGCAATTGTAGCATACATAAATAGTCTCCTCTGATCCTTAGATATTTCTGGACCTAAAATTCCTAGTAAGAAAACTTCAGGTGTTTTTTTTTTTTACAAAAGTTATTATAAACATTTTTTTCAACTCATTATAAATCATTTCCCAATCTACTTTTGTTTTGTTTTTCACCCTCCTATCTTAAACTTCAATTCACATACGGAGATGTGAGTCTTCCCAGCTCTCACCTGGGATAGCTTCCACCTTTCTCAGCCTTTCTCACCCTGAGAAAAAAACACTCCAGCCTGTCACCCACACAGGTCCCTTCCAAATTTCAGAATGTTCTGATTCTTCCAAAAACCAACCCGGCAGGTGAGCCCACCAACAGCTCCCTTATTGTTTGGGTACCACTGGAAATGGGGGCTTCCTTTTAGAAACTCACTTTACTTATTTAAGGTCCAAAGCGCTATGCATTCCACGTGCACGCATCTCAGAAAGCAGCACCCTAAATATCAGTGCAACTGTCAGACTCGATGGCCATCTGTCTGAGTTGCTCAAATACCGTATCTAAAAATACCCTTAAAAGCTGTGCATTGAGAGAGGCAAGAAACTCGATGCAGGACCAAATGAAAAGGAAGAATGTCAGAGCCTTGGGGGATAAGTACAGCGGGGATGGGCGGAGGGAGGGGAGAGGCGTGCATAGCCATAGACGAGCGATTCTCAAAGAAACGCTGATCTTCCCTTTTCTTCCTTACAGCAGTTCTCTACACATGTTCCTCTGTGATTGAAACGATGTAGGTGAGAACGGGGCCAAAACAGTTAAAATGGCAGCCCAACAGGCAAAATGGTACCCATGATATGGTAACATCGAGGAAGGGCCGCTGGGGAAACGGCAAAGAGAAACATGGAACCTGGGTTTTTAAAATAGAATCATAGAATTGTAGACTTGGAAGGGACCCCACGGGTCATCTAGTCCAACCCCCTGCAATGCAGGAATCTCAGCTAAAGCATCCATGACAGATAACCATCCAACCTCTGCTTAAAAACCTCCAAGGAAGGAGGGTCCACCACCTCCTGAGAGAATCCACTCCACTGCTGAACAGCTCTTACTGTCAGAAAGTTCTTCCTGATGTTTGATCTCCTAACTTGAATCCCTTGGTTCTGGTCCTAGCCTCCCATATGACAGCCCTTTAGATATCTGAAGATGGCTAACATAAGTCTTCTCAGTCTCCTCTTTTCCAGACTAAACATACTCAACTCCCTTAACAGTTCCTCATAAGGCTTGGTTTCCCGACCCTTTATCATCTTGGTTGCTCTTCTCTGCACACTTTCCAGCTTGTCCATGTCTTTCTTAAATTGTGGTGCCCAGAACTGGACACAGTATTCCAGGTGTGGTTTGACCAAGGCAAAATAGAATGGGACTATTACTTCCCTTGATCTGGACACTATACTTCTGTTGATGCAGCCTAGAATAGCATTAGCTTTTTTTCTTTGCTGCTGCAAATAGGTTTGGAGTTTGGAGACTGCCAAGGGAGTCATATTCAGCCAGGCCTGAAAGCATGGGCCCATGGATTCATTTGCTAGAAGTAGCGACTGGAAGAGGATCTGGGGTTCTAGATGGAGATTGGGAACTGGGCACTTGTGGTCCTTCACATGTTGTTGGACTACACTTGCAGCTTCCCTGACGATTGGCCATGCTGGCTCAGGGGAAGCGATGGGAGATTTAGTCCAGCAACATCTGAAAGTTGAAAGGTTCCTCACCCCTGAACTTCAGATTTGGGCATAAGTTTAGGACTAAAATCTTATGGCAAGATTTTCAGGGATGGGGAGCTTAGGATGCAATGGATCTCCAGCTCAGCTAGGAGGTTCCTGGCTCAGATGGGCTCAGGTGGGGTTAAGTCCCAAATCCCAGCTCAGCCAAAGACACGCAGGTGTTACTTGCTCATCCTAGCTCAGCCGAGTGATGTCAGTCCCCCAGTGGGACCAGAGGGGGGGTGGTTAGGCTCTTTCCCAAGCCTGTAAAATAAACCAAAGTTCATATACTAACTACAAACCATGATTTCGGATCATGGCAGTAAACAAATCTTTGTCTCAGAAGCAGGTAGCCCTACATTCTCTTTGCTTTCTGACTCTACTTTTGCCTTAGAAAGGCTAATTCTATATCCTGTAATACTGTGCTCTGTCATTAGGTGTCACCGTTTTCTCTTTTACGTTGGTTCTGAAGGAGTGAGAAAGACCTGGGTTGGTGATAAGCTTTTACTTCCACTTGGATCTTCCAAACAGAGTGCCACACAAATTGGAAGAGATAGCTTATGTTTGCTTTTTCAAAAATCGTTGTGTGAAATAAACCTACTTGGTAACAACCACTTTGTGCTACCAAAAAAAGGAATGAAGATCAAAGTTGAAACAAAATAAAAAAATTCCTTCTAGTAGCACCTTAAAGGTAAAGGGACCCCTGACCATTTGGTCCAGTTGTGACCGACTCTGGGGTTGCAGCGCTCATCTCGCTTTATTGGCCGAGGGAGCCGGCGTACAGCTTCCGGGTCATGTGGCCAGCATGTCTAAGCCACTTCTGGCGAACCAGAGCAGCGCACAGAAACGCCGTTTACCTTCCCGCCAGAGCGGTACCTATTTATCTACTTGCACTTTGACGTGCTTTTGAACTGCTTGGTTGGCAGGAGCAGGGACTGAGCAACAGGAGCTCACCCCGTTGCGGGGATTCGAACCGCTGACCTTCTGTTCAGCAAGTCCTAGGCTCTGTGGTTTAACCCACAGCGCCACCCGCGTCCAGTAGCACCTTAGAGACCAACTAAGTTTGTTCTTGGTATGAGCTTTCGTGTGCATGCAGAAGTTTCGTGTTCTGAAGAAGTGTGCATGCACATGAAAGCTCATACCAAGAACAAACCTAGTTGGTCTCTAAGGTGCTACTGGAAGGATTTTTTTATTTTATTTTGTTTCAACTACGGCAGACCAACATGGCTACCTACCTGAAGATGAAAGTGTTTGCATTCTAGGTTGGTTATATCTAAACTAGGAGTCAGCATTTGGAAGCCCCAAGGCCAAAGCCAGCCCACTTGGATCTCCATGTACCATGAAGGAACACGGGGGGGGGGGGGTAGATAGAGGAAATGGCATATGTGCAAACGTGACTTAGGAACATAGCAAGCTGCCTTATGGGAGCCGGATCTTGGCTCCACCTAGTTCAGTATTGTCCACACTGACTGTCAGGGGGAGGGTTCAAGCAGCGATCCTACTTGCAGGTGGGAGCTGAATCTGAGACCTTCTGTATTCCGAGAAGCTCTCTACCACTGAGCTATGGCCCTTCCCCTGATTTGCCACTTTGGGCTTCATTTTCAAAGTGGACCTGCAGGGAATACAGCTATTGAGTAGTGATTTTTTTATTATTATTAAAGATTTTCTTGCTTTACAGAAGTATGTGTAATGTCTCTCGTATTTTTTCCATGTAACATTTTTACAAATCAGTTTCATTTGTTGAGACATTAGGAAGAAAAGGGGTAGAGGGGGGGAAGATGGGTGGGGTCGGGTGGCAATGTTTCTATTTTGCTTAATGTATGCAGGGTTTGGTGTCAGCGTTGCTTGTGTTGTTCACTTGTGTTCCTTTGGTGGTGAGAGAGGTTGGGGTTGGCCTAGGGTGTGGTTGTTCATTTGTGGTTGGCTGTGGTGATCTTTGTTTTCATGTGTGAGTGGGGTGGGTGGGTGTTTTGGTTAGCCATATTGATTTATATGCTGTTGGTGGTTTATTGTCATTGTCTTGTTGGGCTGTGTACGTGATAAAGGGGAGCCATACTGGGGTAAAGGCGTCTTCTTCTGTTTGTCCCAGTGTCAGTTTCAGTTTTCTAGTAGGCCTGTTTCCCATACTATTTGGTACCATTGGTCCATGCTTACTCCTGACAGGTCTCTCCAGTGTCTGGTTATGGTGTTTCTGGCTGCTGAAAGTAGGTGGGTTATGAGTGCTTTGTGGTGTAAATGGGCATTGTTGTCTTGGAAGATGTTTAGTAGGGCCAATTCTGGGGTGATGTCTAATACTTGCTTAGTTATTTTACATATTTCTCGTATGGCTGTTGTCCAGAATAGTTGGATTTTGGAGCAGTCCCACCACTATTGAGTAGTGATTTGAAGTTTATCACGCTGCATCCTCCAGATTCATTCTGAAGTCTAGACTATCGGCCCATTTCAAGTTTGCAAATCGGTGGCGTTCCATGGGTTCTCTTGCCTCTCTGTGGGCCTTTTGCCTCGATTCCTCTACATGCCTTTGCAAGAGATAATCTGGCAACTTTTTGCTGGGTTCTGCATTTCAGGCTGCACAGCCTCCCTTTGATATGATAAATTATACGTGCTGTTAATTACCTAATCCGGTGTCTAGACTACTGTTGGCATACTTTCATTTGGGCATTGTGTATCTCACACTTATTTCTGTGTGTGATTTATCTTGTTGCGAGTTGCGTGGGATGTGTCTCAATATGCCCCGTGTGGAGCATGTGGTGGCAACTGCAAATCCATGCGGCATGAGAAAGAACTGGGGATTATTCAGTTACTCTTTTCCGATGAATCTCCTTCCAGTTCAGCTTCTCTCCTGATCAAAGTGGAACATTAAAGACATTAGCCATGAGCTTGGGGATGTGGGAGAGAGATGTCAGCTGCTTCCCATAGTCATCATCCCATGTCTTCGTCATCATCAAGAGCAGAGAAAACTACAGAACGCCATCAAGTCTGTTTTCTATATGTAAGACAGATCTTGGGGGTCGTTGCGGACACTTCAATAAAGTGGTCAGTCTAGCGCACGGCAGCTGTGAAGATGTCAAATGCCATGCTAGGGATCATTAGGAAAAGGAGTGAAAATGAAACCTCCAATACAGTGGTACCTCAGGTTACATACGCCTCAGGTTACATACGCTTCAGGTTACAGACTCCCAGAAATAGTGCTTCAGGTTAAGAACTTTGCTTCAGGATAAGAACAGAAATCGGGCTCTGGCGGCACAGCAGCAGCAGGAGGCCCCATTAGCTAAAGTGGTGCTTCAGGTTAAGAACAGTTTCAGGTTAAGTACAGGCCTCTGAAACGAATTAAGTACTTAACCCGAGGTACCATTGTATCATAATGGTGTTATAAAAATCTATGGTGTGACTGCACTTAGACTATTATGTACAGTTCTAGTCACCACAACTCAAAAGGGAGATTGTGGAGCTGGAAAATGGTTCAGGAAAGGGCAACCAAAATGATTGAGGGGATGGAATAAATCCCCTCTTGAGGGATAGTTATAACGTTTGGGGTCTTTTGGTTTCGAGGAAAGTTGAGTAAGACAGTGCATGATGGAGATGCAGAACATTATGGATGGCATGGGAGAGTGGGCAGAGAAAGGCATTTTCTCCCTATAGGACCGTGATCATTCAATTTAGCTTAGAGGAAAGGTAGGATATAAGCATACTACAGTGGTACCTTGGTCCTCAAACACCTTGGTTCTCAAACACCGAAAACCCAGAAGTAAGCGTTCTAGGTTTTGAACGTTTTTCAGAAGCCAAACGTCTGATGCAGTGGTCAGCTATTGTTTCTGGGGCACCTGCACCAATCAGAAGCTGCGCCTTGGTTTTCAAACATTTTCGAAGTCAAATGGACTTCCGGAACAGATTAAGTTTGGTGCTTTTGTTTTTGCTAGTTATTTTGTGTTTGTGTTTTTGAGGCTTTTTCGGTTAATTTGTTTTTGTAACTGTGTGGAACCCAGTTCAGCTACTGATTGATTGATTGTGTGGCTGCGGAAATGGATAAAAGCCCCCCATCCAAACAATGACTATCAACAGTACAGGTAAGAAAAAAGAATAATTTTAATTTTTATCATCTACAATACTGTCTTATTTATTTTATGGTACAGTACATTGATTATTGCTCTCATTTTATGAATCAATAGTCTTGTTAGATAGTACAATTCATGTTAAATTGCTGTTTTAGGGGTTGTTTTTAAAAGTCTGGAATGGATTAATCCGTTTTGCATTACTTTCTATGGGGAAGCGTGCCTTGTTTTTGGAACACTTTGGTTTTGGAACGGACTTCTGGAATGGATTACGTTTGAGAACCAAGGTACCACTGTATTAAATAAAAATAAATAAACCCTGTACACCAGGAGCTGGGACCATCTGGCCTTCCAGGTGTTATTAAACCCCTCACTTCCACCTGCCCCATCCCTGCTACGCAGTTAACTGGGGTTGGGTGAGAATAAGTCCCATTGACATTCATCTGAGTGTGCCATTAGCTATATATTTACTTAAACTCCACTCGTGTTCTCCTTGTGTCAAATCAATAGTGAGGATGTCCACTGGGGAAGGCTGAATTTGTTGATTAACTTTCAGTTTGGCTGCTTTTAACAATCAAGTGCGCGATTAAGAAATGCTACAAAAATTTCGGTATATAAAGGGTTTGAATTCCCTGCGTCTTGGCTGGATTCACTCAAACGTTGTGTTTCCTCGCACAGCTTGTCCATTTCCAGTGCCTGTTTGGATGTGACAACATTCCCGCAGGGAAAACACATCCTTTTTAAAAGTGAAGTGCAACCTGCAGGCAGAGTCATGCATCTCCTCACCTGCGGTACCAAAACAGCTTGAGGTGGTCTTATTCGTGGCATGTCTACACAACGTTATACTTGCTGGAAAGCTGCATGTAGCAAAATGCACACTGGTGCAAGCATGAAACATAAATACCTGTGTTCCATCAGCACGCCGTTTTATACACAGAAGGCTTTTTGTATGTTGAAAACAAGCAAGTTCTTATGATATATTAAAAAGGTAAAGGTAAAGGGATCCCTGACCATTAGGTCCATTCGTGGACGACTCTGGGGTTGCAGCGCTCATCTCGCTTTACTGGCCGAGGGAGGTGGCGTACAGTTTCCAGGTCATGTGGCCAGCATGACTAAGCCGCTTCTGGCAAACCAGAGCAGCGCACGGAAATGCCGTTTACCTTCCCGCCAGAGCGGTACCTATTTATCTACTTGCACTTTGACGTGCTTTCGAACTGCTAGGTTGACAGGAGCAGGGACTGAGCAATGGGAGCTCACCCCGTCGCGGGGATTCGAACCACCGACCTTCTGATCGGCAAGCCCTAGGCTCTGTGGTTTAGACCGCAGTGCCACCCGCATCCCATATGATATGGTATCTGAGTACAAAATACATGTTCTCTGCATCAGTGGTGAATAATGCGTGCATATTTAAATCATGCCTTGGCAAAATACACGGTAACTTTCATCAGGAAAGGTTTGGGTCCTCATCACCTGTGCTTTGCGCCCAGACAAGTCCAACTTCCTTTTTATAAAAAAGGTATTTTTACTTATGAAATATTATTGTACAATTCAATTTATTAATATCATTTCAAAAACACATCTGCATATTATAATACTTGTTCATGTTCATATGATTTAGATGTGTATATACTGTACTTGCCATTCAAAGTTGACGTTATATATTATATTCGAGGTACTGGTACCTGGCTCTTAAAAAAACAAAACAAAAAACAACTACTGTAGCCTTAAAGCAAAGTTCCTCCTTTTTTCTTTTCTGAGCAATGACAGCAGCCATCTGCATCATTGCACTTACTTGACCTGTGCAGAGTGAGGCAATTCTTTATGCTGAAAACCAACACAAATTTGGACCACTGCTAAGGAAACAGGAAGCACCGCTCCTCCTAGCTGCAAAAACAAAGCTATAATCCCCTACCATAGCATTGTTCTTCTACTGTGGGGTCCCCGGTGTTGTTGGACTACAAATCCCATCATCCCTGACCATTGGCTAAAGCCCGTTAGGGAAAATGGAAGTTGTAGTACAACAGCCTCTGAGGGTAGACAAACTGCAGAATTCAACTATTGCTGGAAATTGCCTGAGGACCACATTATTTAACCCTCTAATAACACAAG